ACCGCCGTCCTCGGCCGCGAGCCCGCCATGGCCTGCACCGAGGCCGCGAGACGGAGATTGGCGACCACTACAACGCCCAGATCCGCGTCCTGCTCGAGATGGTCGCCCGCTGGCGCGACGACGGCTACGACGTCGGCCCCGAGCTCACAGACCTCATCGCCACGCTGCGCAGGATACGCGACGAGGAGCTCGAGCACCTCGACCACGCCGTCGAGCACGACGCCAAAAAGGCGGAGCCCCACTGGCTGCTGACCGGCGTCATTCGCGCCGGCTGCAAGGGCGCCATCTGGGTGAGCGAGAAGGTCTGAGCGGTGCTTCCCCCGGAAGGACTTTTCCACGATGCCCTCGATATCGAGAACGACGAAGAGAAAAGAGAGGAAGAGGGCGGGTCCAGGCCGCATCGTTATTTGTATGGTGACGGACGCGGAAATTGTAGGATGGCCGTACCATGGGTTGGCTTACCATGGGAAGAAATATGTGTAACACCACTGTGCAAGATGGATAGAAATAAAATGCAAAAATTGCCCAAAGCAGGCAATGTTAATCAATCACACATGAATGCGAAGGCCAGGCTACAATGCAAAGGCTACCCTACAAAGCGCGTTGGTCCTGTAGTAGAAACGGGCATGTCCAGGACCATCTTTCTTCCCATGCTGAAATGCGACGACCCATCCAACGCCGAGCTGACATGACCATGTCCTACCCCCAATGATAGGAACTCGAAAAGATACAGACAGCACTCAACGTCATCAGTTGCTGCGAGTTTGTTAGCAAGGATACCTACGCCGCACGATCTCCTAGCATTCATCGACTTACTAAATTTGCAGAGGCGCAACGCCATCCACCTGGAAGCCCCAATTGCCGTTCTGCTCCTCAGTCGCCAGCCAATCGTAAGGGAACTGTACCAGATGTCCCTGGATCAGGTTGAGCAGCTCCTCTGCCTCCGCGGCCGGGAGGACGTCCTCAGGGGTCCCGCCACGGCGGCTGCCCTTAGTAGTGGCACGTCTGCGGCGACGGACAGACCCTTGGTTCTGCTGACCGGACGCGCTCCTATCTCTGTCTCTGGCCGGCTCCTTCTCCGTCGGCTGAAACGTCGCGCGTCGATCACGACTCTTCTCTCGAGTAGGCAACGTTGAAGGTTCTTCTGCTCCGTCAAACGCCGGGAAGGGTGTGTCGCCAGCAGGGAGAATAGGCGAAGGGGCATCGAATGGGATCGACTTCTCAGGGTCCGCGCCATTCCTTGGTGCGACGCCCTGATGATCGACCTTGTCGCGGCGAGCTGCACGGTCGGCCTTTTCATTGAACTCTTCGTTACCAGTAGTGTTGCTGGGCACCATAATCTTTGGGGGATGGACGTGCTCCTTGACCTTGTCAAGACCCGTCTTTTCCTCCATCTTGTCTGTTGCCGCCTTCGCAATCGCGGCTGGGCCAGGGATACCAATGCCGGCTCCGCCGCTACCTGCAGCATTCGACTGCTCCGCAGCCTCGGGGGCAACCTCGGGTTCCTCGCCCGCCTTCTTGCCCTGCATGCTGTTGACAAATCTCTCGTTGTAGCTGGTGAAGTCGCGGTAATCATTCCACGTGAGAACCTCGGAATCCGGCATACAGCGGAAGACGCGGCGGAAAAGCTTGGTGTTATTTTCGGCGACACGATTCCATATCTCGTCCATGAACGAAAAGTTCACGGGATCACGCATGCAGTCCTTGTCGAGTCGGGCTTGCTTAATGTCGGCCGCCAAGGGATGGGCTGGTCCCATGGATGGTTGTCCATTGACGTCCAGATAGACGGGCGGCCCGCCAATATCCGTGTCATCGACGGCCGGCAGGGTAGGAAGCTGGTTGGCACGGAGCAGGCCGAGCTGATCCGTAGTGCGACGGTTGAGTGCCGGCATGGGTGGCAATTTGTCATTCTGCGACACCGTTGTCTTGCTCTTCCGCTTGCGACAGGGAGCCGTCGCTCGTGTG